GGGAGAGGGGGGATTATTTTCCCTTTTAAAAGTAGGATGTTAGACGGGGGTTTTGTAATGTCCCCAAAGGGTTGTTTAATAAAATTTATAGAGGGTTTTTGGGAAAAAAAAAAGAAAATGCTGGGGTATTCCAAAAAGATTTTGCAAGGGTTAGTGGACGATTTGGAGGGTGTGAAAAAGGGTAAAAATTTGAAAGCGAAATAGTAAAGAAAGGGATGAGGGTTTTCAAATGTTTTAGATAAAAAAAAAATTTGGATATCACTTTGGGAAAGAGAGGGAGTATGGAAGAAGGGAATGTTTTCAGTTTTTTTGGGGAAATTTGACGGTCAGCGGGTGGGCTTTATGAAGGATGAGGTTAACCAAAAATTATGAAGGAAAAAAAATATGGTTGGGATTTAGGTATCTGTGGACCAAAAAAAAGTTATCGAGGGAGGCAAAGAAGGGAATGTTTTTGAAAGATAGAGGGGACCCAAACCCCCTTAAAATGGGGGTTTAAACTTGAGTTGAAAAAGCTTTCAGCAAGGAGATGGTTTAGGGAGTGGGGATGCCTTCTAAGAGCAATGTGTGGTTTTAAATATTTTGCAGAAAATTTGGAGTGTGGAAAATTGGAGAAAGGTGTGGGGTTAATTAAAATATTAGTAGTCAGAGAGCTGAAGAGGGGGTTTTTGAGGTGGTTTTTGGGCATTTAGAGAGCATGGGGTTTAAACTAGAAAGACAAAGGGAGATATAAACTGTAGGGGAAGGAAAGGGGTGGTAGGGGGGTCCCCCGAAAAGGTTGGGGAAAGGGGGGGTAAAGGGGGTTTTGTGGGGGGGGCTTGGATTCCCCGCAAGCGTGCCCTGAGCGTGTAGATGGGGTTTAAAATTTTAAAAAAGGTATTTGGGGCCTGACAATCTGTTTGGGTGTGAGCAGGGTTTAAAATTTAGGGGAAGGGGTTTTTAGGGGGAAAACCCGGGAATTTTTTTAAAAAACCCAACTTGAGTCCAAAGGGGAAAAGGGAAATACAAAACAATGCCGCACTCTAAAAGGGGGATTTGGGGTTTGTCCCCGTTTGGAGAAATATATTGGGGTATTTTTTTACGTATATACTTCTAAGCGTTTTATTCGGGCACCTTGCCCAAAAAAAAGATTATAAGGAGTGAGGGGGAAAAATGTTGAAAAATTTTATGAAAGTATTTTTTTTTTGGGGGTTTTCTTTTTCCCCTTTGGGTCACCCCGCCTCGGGGAGACGGCCACTTGTTGAGAAAAAAAAAAAAAAAAAGTTATAAAATTTTTGTAATCTTTTTATATGTTTCTAAAATGATTAAACTAAAGGGGACTGCAAAAACCCGTGGTTAAAGTATGAGTGAGGGGAGTGTTGAATGGGGAAAGTATTTTTTTTTTGAGTACCCTGCTTTAGTGGGGGACAAACCGATTGGTAAAAAAAAAATTATAAATAATATAAATATATTATTATAATTTAAATATATAAATTTTTTATATATATAATATATATATATATATTAAAAATATAATATATATAAAATTTTTATATATATAAAATATATAATATAAAATATTTATATAAAATATATAATTTTAATATTAAATAAAATATTTATAATATATTAATAAATAATATATTTTTATTTTATAATATAAATAAATATAAATAAAATTTTTATATATTTTAAATATATATATATTATAAAAATTTTTAAAAATATATATATATTATAATAAAATATATATATATATATAAAATTTTAATTTTTATAATATAATATATATAAAAATAAAATATAATAAAATAATAATATATTATTTTTTAATAAATATATATATATATAATATAATATTATTTTAAATTTTATATAAATATATAAAATTAAAATATATTTTTAATATATATAAATATATAAATTTTAAATATAAATAAATATATATAATAAATAATATATTATATAATATTTTAATATAATATATATATAAAATATATAATAATTATTAAATATATATAATTTTTAAAAATATATAAATATTTTATAATATATATATATATATAAAATTTTAATATTATTAAAATATATTAAATTTTATATATAAAATATATAAAAATATTATATATATATATAAAATAAAAATTTTATAATATATATATATTTAAAATATATAATAATATTAAAATAAATATAATAATATATATAAAAATATATATAATATAAAATATATAATTATTTTATAATAAAATAAAAAAATTAATATATATTTAAAATATATATAAAAATAATTTAAAATATATATTTTAAAATATATAAAAAATATATATAATATATTTTAAAATAAATTTATATAATTTTATATTTTATTAAAATTTTATTTATTTTAATTATATAAATATAATATATAAATTATTTTATATAATATTTTATAAAATTAATTTTTAAAATATTATATAAAAATATATAAATTATTAATTTTATATAATTTTAAAAAAATTTTAAAAATATATAAATAATATATATATTTTTAAAATATTTAAAATAAAATATTTATATATAATAAATATATATATATAAAATAATTTATATATATTTTAAAATATAATATAAATATATATAAATATAAAATAAAATTTTTAAATATATATAAAAATATAATTTTAAAATATATAAAAAATATATTTATAATATAAATTATATTTTATAAATAATATTTTTTTAAAATATTTTTAAATATATATCTAATATTTAATTTTATATATATTTTAATTTTAATTTTATATATTATAAAAATAAATAATTTTTTTAAAATAAAAAAATTTTTAATATAAAAAAAATATATATATTTTAAAATATATAAATAATATTATATATATTTTATTTTAAAAATTTAAATTTTATAAAAAATAAATATATAATATATATTTTAATATATATATATATATTATATATAATTTTAAAATATTTTTAAATATATTTTATTTTAAAATTTTATTATAATAATTTTATTAAAAATAAATAAATTATATATTATTTATTATATATAAAAATATATATATTTATATAAAATAAATATATTAAAATATTAAATATTTATAAAATTAAAATAATTATTTAAAATTTTTAATCTTATAACCCCAAAAAAATTAAAAACAAATTACATAAAAATTTAAAATTTATTTTAATAATTCCCTTTAATAATAAAACAACCCATAAAATTAAAATTTCCCAAATTTCCCCACTTATTATAAAAAATACTTTAATATTATTATTTATATAAAATTTTAATGCAAATATAAATCATGTTTTTAAAATAAACAGTCCCCCCCCCTTTTTCAACCTTTTAAAATGTTTTAAAAAAAAGGCCAAAATTAAATGGATAAACCCCTTTAATTTTTTTTAAATATGGGGGCCCATTTAAAAGAGCCCAAAGGAGAAAACTTTAATTTGTCCTTGATATTAAAGCCCAAAACCAAGGGGAAGTTTTTGGCAGGCCCCTTTTTGGGGATTTAATAAAATTATAATAAAAAGGAAAAATCATTTTCCAAAATTTAAAACCCCTTTTTTTTCACAGTTTAAATTGTTTTCTTTTTAGACCAAAACCCAAAAAATTTTTAAAATTTTTTCCAAAGGGGTTTTTAATTTGTATGCCCTTTTTGGGAAAAGCTTGGTTTTGATTTTAAAAGCAAAAAGGGGAGGTTTTTTACCTTTTGGCTTTAAAGCGCCTTTTTTATTTATAATTTTTAAAAATAATAATTTTTAAAGGGGAAAATAATTTGCCCAAAAATAAAAGCCCCAACATCACTTTTTGGTTTAATTTATTTTTTTTTTTTGGTAGAAACAAAAAATTAAAAATTAAATTTTTTAGCAGGCTTGTTTTTCCTTTTTTAAAATCCTTTTTATTGAATGTTTTCTTTAATTTAATTAAATTAGCAAAGGGGCAAATTTTTGGAGGGGGGACCCCAATTTCCCAAAAACTTTTTAAAATTTGGGTTTTTCAGCCACAAAATTAAATTTAAATTTTTTTAATTTTAATTTTAAAAAAAGAACCCCCCCAAAGGGGGTAAATTCAAACCCTTTTAAAAGTTGTTTCCAAACCCTTTTTGGGGTTTTTAAAAAAAATTTTCCCAAACACCACAGGTTTACTGGCCCCTTTAATTCCCTTTTTTTTTTTTACAAAACATCGGATTTAATGCCAAAAATTTTTTTTTCAAATTTTTGGGTAAAAAAAGGCCCCCTTTTTAATCCTTTCCTAAAATTCCCCTGATTTTTTATGCAAAAATTTTTTAATTTTTTTCAATAGGTTAAATTTTACATTAATTACCTGTTTTTAAAAGGGGCAAACCAAAATAATTTTGGAGCAGTGGGATGTCAAAGGGGTTTTCCTAAAATTTATACCCAAAATTTTTTAAAATTTTACACTGTTTCCTTTCAATTTAAGGGTCTCTAATTTTTTCATTTCAAAGTTAAAACCCCCTTTTGGTAGTGAAAGCCTTTTGCATTTAAAGTTTTCATTATAAATTTTTAGAAAAAATTTCCCTTTTTTGCACTGGTTTTGGGTTTGGGGCAAAATATCAAGGTGCTCCCCAATTCCCTTTAAAAATTTTAATCCAAATTTGCCTTTTATGGGGGGGGGCCTTGTTTTGCCAAAGGCCCTTTTCCCAAGGAAAACCTTGGCGGTATTTTACTTTTATAGAAAATTTTCCCCTTTTTCTTTAAAAATGTTTTACCCCGGGTTTTAAAAACCCCCAAAAATTCCTTTTAATTCAACAACAAAATTTCAAAAATTACATTTTTAAAATTTTGGGTTTCAATTCATTATTATTTTATTTTTTTCTTTAGGCCTAAATTTTTAAAAACATTCCTTCCCCCCTTTTTACAAGAAAAAAGGGGTTTTAAAGGGAAAAATTTTCAAATTGGGTGCCAATATTTTAAATTTTAAAAGAATTTGTTTTTAAGGGCCCCATTTGTTATTTAAATTCAAGTTTGGAAAAATAAACCATTAAATTTCCAAAAAAACCTTTTCAAAGATTTACTAGAGTACATGCTAAACAGTCCTTTGTCTGGTAGTGTAACACTTGCCATATGTCTGCACTTTGACAGATGTGATCAGGCATCCTGACTGCATATACCTGAAGCCCACAAACTGGAAACTTTTAAAACACAAACTGATACTTCCTCAGAAGTGATTTTTCTTCCTAACTATAAAAATTTAAATGTATTTTAAGTGTATCATTACAAGAAAAATCTTTACAAAAAAGTTATGAGTGAAACATTTTCTCACCTAGCATCATCATATACAAAAACCTCTTAATATCTGTGCATTATTTCTCTCAGTAATAATTATTTTTTACCATTAAAATCAACTCAAAATTATCACCAAGATATACAGGGCGAAGATTTACACGAGAAGCAACCTCAGAATTGCCACAATTATTCGAGACTGCTGTACTAGTGGCATTATAGTACTAAGGGTCAAGTTCACAGATTGAACTATTTTGTAAATATAAAAGAAATTCATAGTTTTTTACAAATGTTTCAAGGAGTTGCCATGAAATCAAAACTGGATGGGATATGACTATATATTCGAGTCATGTTGAAAGATCATAGGTACTGTTTATAATAAACTTTGTATAGTACTTCTCTCATGAATGTAATAATAATAATAAACCTTACTTTGGTATTTTCCACTTACAGTGCAAGGAAAAACTGCACTAGAAAAGTTTCTTAGACTTAGTGTGCTACCAAAACCATGTTGATAGGATACTTGAAATTCCAATGCAGCTTCGTAAGAGCCAGCTGGAGTATAAGTGCTTGATATTCTCACAATTTTCCTGATTAAGTGTTGATATCTTTATTATCCTGAATAAGTGTTTGATATCCTTATTATCCACCTGAACAAGCCGAAGGCGAGGAACATAATGTACGAAAAGTGGTCCTCATTGTTTCTCTTTGTTGCCCCTTTATGCACCATGTATTATACACTACTGAGAGGTCACTTGTGATTGTCATTGCTTATACCATGTATGCTGCCAAGTGCAAACAAACATGTACACTGAAACACAATAAAACTGGCATTTACCTCTGATTCATGGTTTCTTGGTGTGTGTGTGTATGTAAGCTGGAGCTTTCTTTATATTCACTAAATATAAAGCGAAATTTGGTTTTAAATGTACAGCAATTAAGCCAGTTTATCACTTATACACATCTAGTAACCTTAAGAATATGCAACAACTGTGAGTTAAAATAATCTATTTATTCTGACTTCTTAATGATTGCTGCTCACACTGTTTAGCATTTGCCACCACTGTAATGACACCGATCTTGTACTTGTTAGTAGCCAGACTTTACACAGAGACGAACTGTGCCACAACCTTCCTGATGAACGAGTCACTTCACACCTTTCATTATTAACCAGTTGCACCAAACACCTTGTGAGAAGAGACCAGAAAATAATGAATTTTACAGTGTATGTTACCTTCATTAAAGAGTCTGACGCACTGTCTTAGTGAGACTATCTTGGCTAGACAGGTTTCAGCATTTGAAGGCTAACAGAGTTATCTTCAAGCTGACATGCTCACAGCAGGTGCAATATCCCTGTAGCCTCATGTTGTCACACATCTTTTAACTGCAGTGTCCATAAGTTATTAGTAGTAACAACTTCCAAGGCTCATGTTGATCTTATGTACAACAGAAGAGCCAGAAGCAGATGTCATCTTTAAGTGAAGGTGGGGGCCGGGGGGTTGAGTATCAGAGGGGCTGGTCATCAGAACAAGGAGAAGGATGGTAACGTGGGAAGGTGGGCACTCTGCCATCACTGTAGGCTGCTTTCAGTTCATCATAACATATGAGCATCAAGCGAGAGTTGAGAGATTTTCGACAATCAGGGCATATGCGTTTTTTCTTTTTCCTATCCCCAGATGCCATCAGATCTCTAACACACCTGGAAGCAAAGAAGATATGACATAAGCCATAATATAAAAAATTAACAATTAACAAACATAGTTTAGAAAATTTTAAGTACTGTACAGTACTGAGTTTTTATTCTAATAACCATTTAGGAATATGTATATCCTTCCTTTTATGAATGAAGGTTTGCTTATAATCTCTTATTTAGCTATTAACCTTTCCAGGGTCCGTGCCGACACTGGCTTTGAAGCCAGTGTCGGTACCATAGTTCTATGCCATGAGCTCAGCTCACTCAGATAAGCTGTGAGCAGTAAATTTGGGCATAGATATGAGAGAATGGGTCTATGTAGTAAGTGTGTAGAATATAAAAAAAAAAATTCTGCAGCATGCAATGCACGAGGGAAAAAAATTGCAACCTTGTTTTTGGTTTAAAACAGAGACTTTGCGGTGTATTTTTCATGTAATTTTTATGGTTGTATTCATGATTTCTTGGTCTCGTTTGATAGAATGGAAGATATATTACAGAAATACAAATGATTTTGATTGGTTTTAGAAGGAAAATAGCTTGAAATTGAGTGGAAATGTTTGATTTTTGCTGATGTTCGAATCACATCACGCGTCTAATACATGTCAACTGGTAGGTCTAATGTGCGTTCACAAATACATGTATGCTGATATTATTTATACAAGTACTGCAGTACTGCAGAACAGTAAATCTTCTATTTCTTAGTGTGAATAAAAAATCAAAATGGAATTCATATATAAAGCCTAGAAACATAACTAATGAACAGAGGAAATGTTATTTCAGTGCCATGAATGCCTGCATTGTTTCTTCTGGACCCTACTTTGAAACTGGAATATTCTGAAATTTGTGTGAAATTGGCCAAATTACCAGTGTCTGATCACTTTATTGGGTAGCTGAAATAGTTGACTGGGTGGTTTCTTGTACTCAATAGATAAAATGGAAGGCATACTACCAAAATAGCTAAGAATTTGGTCGACTGGAACAATGCAAAATAGGACTAAAAAGGCCTAAAATAGGACTCAAAGTGGGCAAAATTGCCGATGTGTAAATATCGCTGACACAGCAAAATTTGCACGAGTGTAACTTCGTCAATTTTCCATCAATTTTTGTACTTTTTGTTTTATTACCTTCATAAAAAAATTCTCTGCCATCTCATAATAAAAAATATTTATTTTTTTTTTTAAATTCTTTGACCCTGTGGACAAGCTTCAGATTGGGGGGTTGGACCCTGAAAGGGTTAAGCAGTGGATATCACACGCATATTATTTACATCCAATGATTATTTTCAAGTGATTACTTTAATCACTGGAAAGTCCTAAACCTGTTGGAGTCATATAGTGCCTGGGGAATGGGAAGCAATGGTTTGATTGAAGGGAAGAATAATTCCATTCTGAGGGATCAAAATCCCTCACTGGCATCAAGGCACCTCCCTAAAGGGGCTTGCTGTGAATAGTGGGGAGTTAGTCAGTTGCTTTTTATAGTTATACAAAAAATAACAATGTTACCACACTGGCAGTCTGCCACCATGAGTCAATATATTCCAACAAACAATTCAAAGCCTCTGCAATAGACATTATCCTTTAAAAACTAAACAGGTCACAAAGAGATTAAAAAGCCCATGGCTACCCAACAGCATCCTCAGACAAAAAGCATAACAATGAGTAACAAATATTGGGATTAATACCCAAAGAACTGTCAAGAAATTACAGCCTCTCCTCACTTACCGACGTACTTGTTTATCAACAACTCAGAGTTACGACGGGCTCTCCCTGACAAGTCAGTAATGTATGCTGTACAAGAACTTGGGTCATGGAAATGGGCAGCACAGCATCTTAGTGTCAAACATCTCGATCTCCTTCCTACAGCCACTTAGTACACCAGCTCTCTAAGTCTCCAGGACTATATATTTGTACAAATTTGTACTTTATTGTGAACCCCATAGTACAGGATAAAAGTGCAGCAGCACTTGGAAATGGAAGTACAAAAGTTCATTGTAAAGGGGTTAGTGATGGGTCTCAGGATCAAGCAATATCCAAGACTACATATTTTGTCTATAAATTTGTACTTTATTGTGCACCCCACAGAACAAGATAGAAGTGCAGCAGCACTTGGAAGAGGAAAAAGAGAAAAATGGAAGAAGTACAAAAGAAGTTCACAGTAAAGGGGTTATCTGGTGTTTATCTACATGTTAACATTCTCGGTGTCTCGTAGAATCTTAAGAAATTATTAAACTCAGTAAACAAGCTATGTTGATGGTATTAATAATAATAAGCAATAATAACAGCTCTGGAGCGCTTTAAATGTCATACATATTTCATTTAGGTTTGGTAGCTGACATTGAAAGCACTCCAGAGCGATTATTAATTATTATTATTATTACCATCGACATACAGTGGAACCTAGGTTTTCATTTGCCCTGCTTTTTGTCAAATTCGGTTTTCAGCGACTTTTTTCATCAAAATATTGTCCCAGTTTTCATTCATTACCTTGATTTTCATCCGCCATACCAAATGTGTCCGTCTACCCATGCCCACACAAAGCATCCTACGCAAGCATTCCGAGTCAGTCTGGCTTTGTTTCTCGTCGAGTGAACAGTACCCTGCACATTTCATACAAAACATTTCATAATCCATTGTGTTTTGAGTGCGACTGCTAAATAAGCTACCATGGGGCCAAAGAAAGTTCCAAGTGCCAGCCCTTTGAGTGAGTGTGGGTGGGTGTGAGTTGGACCCAACTAGCTTGTGCTACTAGGTCTGATGTCATGCTCCTTCCTTCAATGGATGTAACTTGACTAGGTGGGTCATTGGTCTAAGCCGGGGGGGAGGGTGACATGGACCTGCCTTGCCTGGGCCAGTAGGCCTGCTGCAGTGTTCCTTCTTACTTATGTTCTTATGTATTCGACTGGCTGGCTGGCCAGCTTGCTTTGGCTGTTTCTGGCTGTCTCTTTGTCTATATCTCTATCTGTCTATATCTATCTATATCTATGTCTCACATGTACTCATAAGTACAATTATACATAGTGTAAATTACCTAGGATAACCCAAAAATTCCAGGCAAAGATAGACAGACATATAGATAGACACACAAACATGTTTGTGTGTATCAGTGAAAACAAATAAGCCAGGGTTCCCCTAGTGCCCATTTATCAAATGCCACTGAGCTGTCAACTGTCATAACACCATTCTTCAAGGAGTTTCACATACTATACTCCAGGCAGACAGAAAGACAGATAAGCAGAGACAGACAGGCTGACAGACAGATAGACAGAGACAAGACATGTTTGCGTGTAACAGTGATAACAAATACAGCAAGGGTTAGGTGGAGCAGTGGGCCTTTATCAAATGTCACTGGGCTGTCAACAGTATAAATTCAAATTCAAAGTTTATTCTCTATAAAGATTACAGTGTTGAATTTACAGAATTTGGTTGTTGTGTGGTTTACATGTAGTTAAATAATGATTACAGAGTGTACCACTAGAACGCCTAGCATGGCTAGGCATTTCGGGCAGACTTAGTTTAATTCTTTATTTTAAAATATTACAAATTATGAGGTAAGTTGGTATTATGGCTAAGTGACTAAATACTAGTTTGTGAGTTTAGCAATGTGAATGCTTTTGTTTTGGCACAGTACATAGTTTCAGTATTGGAGTATCATAGGATTCATTATTTTAAGATTGAGATTAATATTTCTGTTTATGGTCAAATGGGTGAGTGAGTGTAAGTGTGAACCACCAGGTGGTATTCGGTAGTTAGTTGATGGGGTTTATCAGGGAGATAAGATGTTTCCTAAGGGTAGTTTTGAAGGTGATGAATGTGTCTGCAGTTCTAGAGTTCTCAGGTAGGGTGTTCCAGATTTTAGGGCCTTTGACATACATTGAATTTTTGTAAAGGTTTAGTCGGACATGGGAATGTCGTAGAGATGTTTGTGTCTGGTGTTATGCCTGGGGGTTTTCTGTCACAACTATCAAGAAAGCGTTTTAGGTCAAGGTTGATATTGGAGTTTAAGGTCCTGTAGATGTAGATTGCACAGTAGTAAGTGTGGATGTACTGAACAGGGAGTAAGTTTAGATCTATGAAGAGTGGGGGGTGTGTTGCCAGGGATGGGATTTAGTGATTATTCTTACTGCAGCTTTTTGTTGGTTATTATTGGCTTTAGGTGTGTTGCTGCAGTTGATCCCCAAGCACAAATAGCATAGGTGAGGTATGGATAAATAAGTGAGTGGTATAGTGTGAGAAGGGCATTTTGCGGCACGTAGTATCGTATCTTGGAGAGGATCCCAACTGTTTTGGATACTTTTTTGGTTATGTGTTGGATATGGGTGCTGAAATTCAGGTTGTTGTCAAGGTATAGGCCTAGGAATTTGCCCTCATTATGTCTGGTAATTAGAGTGTTGTCATCTTAATGTTAATTTGTGCATCTCCTGCTCTGCTACCAAACATAATATAGTAGGTTTTGTCAGTGTTAAGCGTAAGTTTATTGGCTGTCATCCAAGTCGATATTTTGATCAGCTCCTCGTTAACAATGGTGTTGAGGTGGCAAGATTAGGGTGAGAGATGACATAAGTCGTGTCGTCAGCAAAGAGAATGGTTTCAGGTGTTGGGATACGTTTGGAAGATCATTGATGTATATGAGGAAGAGCAGGGGACCAAGGACACTTCCCTGCGGAACTCCAGTATCAAGTGGCCGTGTTGTTGATGCTGTGTCTTTAATGGTAACATACTGATACCTATTAGTAAGGTAAGATTTGAAATAAGCAAGCGCATGGCCTCTTATACCGTAATGGTCAAGTTTGTGGAGTAGGATGTTGTGGTCTACTGTGTCAAAAGCTTTTCTTAGGTCAATAAAAATTCCTAGTGGATATTCCTATTTTCCAATGCTGTGTAAAGCAGATCTAGCATTTTTATGATTGCATCATTAGTGCTTTTATTTTTCCTAAATCCAAATTGGCAGGGGTTGAGTATGTTTTGTGCTGTTATAAATGAATATAGTCTCCTTGGCACGAGTTTCTC